TTTTTTTTTTTTTTTCTTGTCCCTTCCTCTGCTCCTTTCCCTCACTTTGTCACTCCACGTTTCTCTTCTGCTGTTTCTCCACCTTTCTCTTTTTCCGCTTTCCCATTTCTCAGGCTCTGCTTTCTGGGGTGTGTGTGTGTGTGTGTGTGTGTGTGTCTGTCTGTCTCTCTCCATGTCCCCCTTACATTCCCCCTCTCCCGGCCCATATCCAGACGGCCCCTGGAGCTTCGAGTCCCCGCTGCCTACCCCCAAGCCTTCGGAATCCGATGGAAAAGCTGAAGTGCTTGCAAAAGCACCCGATTCGGAGGTCCCCTGACACCCCACGCTCTTCCCCTTCCTCCCCTAACTGGCCCCATCCTCCCTGAGACCGCGGTGCACAGCTTCGGGACTGGAGGGTCATCTGTCCCCTCTGAGGGTCTTCTAGCCCACCTTGTCTAACTTTATACAGCACTTTTTTTTTTTTTTTTTAAACCCTCGACGTTTCCCTAGATGTGGGCTTCACTTCCCCGCCTTTCTCTCCCTGGGGGAACCTTCCAAGGTCTCACCTGGATCCTGGGCGGGCAGTGGCTGCTCCCGGTACGCCCCGTATTGCCGGTAGGAGGCTCCATAAGTATATTCCGACTTGGGCGAGTAAGCGCCCGTGCCCGCAAGCCCGTTGAGATTGAACTGGTGGTGGTAGGTGTAGGGGTTCACGGTCTGGCCGTAGGGCTGGCCCGAGTAGTAGTCGTGCTGGGGAGCGCTGTAGTAGCCCAGATCAGTGACAGAGGACTCGGGCAGGGTGGGCGAGTCCTTGGAGCCTGCATGGCAGCTTAGCGAGCTGGAGATGTCGGTGAGGATGCTGCTGAGCTTGCGATCGAAGGAGCCACTCATCCTGGCGGGCGCCGCGAGTCCTGGGGCTGGCCTGGGCCGCCGAGCCGAAGCCGGCAGGGGCGCGGAGGAGGCGCAGGAGACGAGGCAGGGGTGTGCGTTGGGGAGCCGAGGGGAGGGCCCGCAGGGTCTCGGGGGAGGGGAGGTCGAGGGGCGCCTAGACCATGGCAGGCCTTCGGGCGGTCGCTGCGCGCCTCTCGTCGCGTCCCAAGCCACAGTCAAATGCTGCCAGCTCCGCCCGGCCAGCCGGTTATAGACTCAATAGTGGAGTCTCGGAGGGAGGCTCCAGCGCTCTGATTGGCTGCAAGTCTTGCCTTCGAGGCAAAACATGCTCTTGCGTTCTTTCGTTCTCTTTCTCTCCTCTCTCCCCCCCATTCTTTGTTGTTACCCAAACACACACACACACACACACACACACACACCCCTTGTTCCCCCTCCTGTGGCTCCCGCCCCCAGTCCAGATAACTCCCAGCGTCTCTGAAGGAAGGAGTTGGGGGGAAGAGTGTCTCTGCCGGGCCCCCAGGATTTGTCAGTCTGTCTGTCTCCCTGGCTGCGGCTGGGAGGTGGGCTCAGGTGCGATGGGGAGGCAGGGGAATTTGCCTATTGGGTGTTCGCGGTGGGGGGTGGGGGGAGGTGGTCCAAGGTGGTGTGTGTGTGTGTACTCTGTGCAAATGACAGGCAGACAAATGTGCCCAGCGTGGGAAGGCCCCAGGGTTCTGGGAAATATTTTAATTTCTTTTAAAATCAGAAGAAAAGGGGAAGACATTTTAGGTTGAGGAAAATGTTTCAGTGTATGAGATTAATATATTTACAGCAGTGCAATCATAAGACGTAATCTTGAATGTCTTTATAGAGGAAGGGGCCCATCAGGGAAAAGTGCCTCGGGCCTGTGAAAGTCCTAATGGGGCCCAGAGAGGGTCCTGTTTTGGGGGCGGGGGCAGGGGTGTGTGGATTTAAGGGCTTAGGCAGCGGTTGGAGGTGCATAACCTGCCCGTGGTGCAGCTTCGGAAATGGCCCAGGCTTGCTAGAGGGAGCAGAGGATCTGGGGTCCCCATGAGGTTGGGTGAGATAAGAGGCTGGCTCTCTGTGCTTTAGTAAGTTTGGAGTCAGAATCTGTGCACTGGGGACAACACTGGGGGAATGTGGGCATTTTTAGAGATGAGGTATACGGGACGGGTGTAGTTGGGGTATGTGGTGTGAGGGTTACACGTGTTCTGCAGTATACAGCGATGCACATGAGAGCAGGCCCGTGTGCGTGTGTGTGTGTGTGTGTGTGTGAGAACGCGCCACCGCGAGGGTATAAGCAGTGTGAGTGGAGGGTCATGGGAGGGGGGTGTCTCCGTGTGAATGTGTCATTGTATGCCGATGTGTATAAAACTCTTAGCACCTTCTCAGTCGACCCATGATGCTCCATTGAGTCCTGTCCCTCCAAGAAGGCCCTGGAAAAGAGGCTCCCCTTCCTGCGGACCGGCGGCTCCTAAGTCCCGTCTGGCTCGCAAAGTCGTCCAGGTTGTTCCCACCGCCTACAGCATTTCTCCACGCCACCCCCAATGCTGCTCTCCGCCTTTCTTTGGGGGGGGGGGGGAGGAGGGGGAGCTCCTCCAACTCTCAGTTCCCGGCCGCATACGACCTTCACACAGGGCAGCCTCGTCAATTCTCATGTCCCATCAGTCTGCCCGGCGGTGCTAAAGCGACTCAGGACGCGCAGTGCCAGCGCGCCACCTTGTGGTCATTTCTGGGCTCTGCAGCCTCCCCAAGTCTCGCCAGTCCGGGGGAGGGGCTTCCTACCTAGACTCCTAACGTCCCGCAGGGAAGGAGGCAGGGGGCTCTGTGGCCCCTTCCAAAGTCAGACCCTGCGGACAGGATGCCAGGCAAATCCCCGGGACTTAAGAGCTGCAGCTGGCGGAGGCAAAAGGCCCCCGTCCCCGGGCGGAGGGGCAGGAGTGTCCGCCAGGTCTGAATCGCTCCGGGGAGGCCGCAGCGTGGGAAAGGTGGGGGCGGGGGCCGGGCGAGGGGAGCGCTATCTGCCCGTCTATCTCCGCGTCCCCCCAGCGCCTATCGCCCGCCGCTCCGAGCCCGTGGCGGGGCGAGTTGCCACCCGCTCGGGATGCCCTCTGTTCTGTTGCCAAGAGGGCGCCTAGAAAGCCCGAGGCGTTGGGGGCAGCGAGGGCACTGGGCCGGCCGGCTCCCCTCCCACAATGCGAGAGGGGGAGGCGGGCAGGGCCTGCTTTGGAGCCCCCTGCTCCCCACAGAAAGGGGACAGCCTCTGGCAAGCCCTTTCTCGGGGGTTCATTCATTCATTCATTCATTCACAACCGAGAAAGAGGGCCCAGGTGAGTCACTCCCGTTCCCTCCTGGTCGCCACCCCAGCCTGCGGCTCCTGGGCTCCGCGAGTGAGCACTGGACTGGGAGTCTGGAACCCTGGAGGCACGACAGGGTGGTGGTGGTGGCGGATGACAGTAGCATAGTTTCTACGCTCCATTCTGCTCTGAAGGTCTGAAAGAAATGGACAAAAGCTGCAGCATGAAAGACTGAGGTGAGCCATTAAACAATAGTTGGGAGCGTGCGATTGGCATCTGGTCCTCCATTGCAGTGTGCGCTCCGAGCCGCCAGGGACTGTATCTCCCAGCTCACTACCACCTTCCAGATACCTACAGCAGCCCTGACACACACCACTTCAGCGCTCAGTTGATGTTTGTTGAATGAGTAACGGAGACCCTCTGGTACTGGAGAGGGGCTGAGCATCTTGGCTGAGTGTGCGCGCAGGGTTAGGAAGAGGGGAGGCACGGGGCGGGCACCGGGATGAAGCTACCCCCGGCTCGAGGATAAGAGCGAGAGTAGCTTCCCTGAGAGGGCCATCCGCTGGCAGGCCCAGGGTGGTAAGGTGGCCAGAGGATGCAGTGGGACCACTTGCCACCTGCTGCACCTCATCTGGGCCGATGAGATGAGCAGGTGGCCGCCGGGCGGAGTCCTGCTCCCAGGGATGATGCAGCCTTTTAGGGGCCTCTGGGAGGCTAGCAGGACGGAGGAGCAGGGTTGACCAATGTACAGGTCAGACTCCATCGTCCATCCTCTCCCTGGGCACGAGAAAAGGCATACTGTTGAAGCAGGCTGTCTCCTGGAGCCCGGTGTCGTGCTCTCTGGGCATAGCACAGCCACTGGGCGTCCAGGGTGCGGGGTCTGAGGGGAGGAACTCGGGAAGCCGGAGCCCAGCCCTTGCTCTCTCTTTTGCCTGGGGAGCTGACGCCATCTAGTGGTCAATGTAAGGAGGCCAGAGTCCGGCTCCCCTGAGGAGACCTGCTCAGGGGGCCACGTGCAAAGCCCCCACCTTCAGACCCAGAAGGAATGTTCTCTTTACTGGTCTTAGGAGCCCTATCAGCACTAAATAGTCACTCTTCATCATCACCTTGCCTTACTCCGCAGCGGGTGCCTCTCTCCCCACCCACCCATCCTTGACCAGCCTGTGGCTCCTTCCCTCAGGTTTCTCGTTTGTAAATAAAAAAGTGGAGGGGCGCCTGGTTTGCGAGTTCGAGCCCTGCATTGGGCTTTGTGCTGACAGCTCAGAGCCTGGAGCTGCTTTAGATTCTCTCTCTCTCTCTCTCTCTGCCCCTCCTCCACTTGTGCTCTATCTCTCTCTGTCTGAATAAATGTTAAAAAAAAAATTTTTTTACAGTAGATTATTAGATGGCCTCTGAGGCCCCTTCGTATTCCCAGATTCTTGTCACTCAAGGGGGAACTCTCCTTCACCTTCTCACCAGCTGCCTTGGAGATACATCCCAGGCATCCAGAACTTTGCAACCTGGAGGTCTTCTGGAATTCTTCATCCACCCAATAAATCCTTCCTGAGCCTCCATTGTACTTGGTGCCGGGGATGGAGCGCTGAGCAAGACAGACACAATGCTCCCTCCATGGAGCAGAAGCCCAAAGTCCAGCAGGAGAAGTGGACACAGAAGCAGCCAGTTTCACTACCATATGACACATAATGGGACAGGGGTAGCAGGGACTGCTGTGACATGGAGGCAGGGAGGTCTCTGAACTGAGACCTGAAGCATGTGTGAGACTCAGCTGGGAGAAGCAGGGATACGGGGAAGGGGGAGAGTTCAGGGGAAAGTCCGCGCAAAGGCTCATGGGCCAGCCTGGGGCATGGCGTTGGGGAGGGTTGGTTAAAGGCGAAGCTGGAGGAGAGCCGGAGGACACAGAGCCCTTAGAACCCCAGAGCAGAAGAGTGGGCTTCCTTTAGTGGCTACAGGGAACCACTGAAAGATTTTAATCAGGGGAGAGCCATGATTGGATTTTGGTTCTAGAAGGATCCCTCTTGCTGCTACGTAAGGATGAGTCAGAAGGGCAAGATTGGAGGCTGGGGGGACTGTGAGGAGGCTCCTGAAGGAGTCCAAGAGACAAGGCAGTTGGGTCCAGGTGAAGGAGGTGGCAATGAGGGTGGAGAGAAGCAGATCCATTTGAGAGACAGTGAGGGAATAAGCCCCAGGCTTCTGACTTGGGTAACTAAGTGGAAAGAGAAGACCATTCTCTGAGAGAGAGAGAGAGAGAGAGAGAGAGAGAGAGAGAGAACCATGGGCTGCTTGATGAAGAAGAGGGTGCTTCCGGTTTTGTTTTGCTTTTTAAAACTTAAAAAAATTTTTTTTAACGTTTATTCATTTTTGAGAGATGGAGACAGAGCATGAGCAGGGGAGGGGCACAGAGAGAGAGGGAGACACAGGATCCGAAGCAGGCTCCAGGCTCTGAGCTGTCAGCAGAGAGCCCGACGCGGGGCTTGAACTCACAAATCGCGAGATCATGACCTCAGCCGAAGTCCGACGCCCAAACGACTGAGCCACCCAGGCGCCCCTCTTTTTAAAACTTTCATGCAGAAAAGTGCACCAGTCACAATCGACGAATTTGTGGAAACCAAGCACAGCTGTGTAACTGGCACCCAGGGCGAGAAGCGACGGTCCCAGCCCTCAAAAGCCCCCTCGTGCTCCCTTCTGGTCACTACTCCCCAAGGGTAAACAGTCTTAGCTTCTAGTGCTACTGGTCAGTGTTGCGTATTTTTTACTGTTTTGAATGTTTATTTATTTATTTTGAGAGACAGAGGGAGAGAGAGAGAGAGCAAGAGGGAGAGGGGGGCAGAGAGAGGGAGAGAGAAAGAATCCCAAGCAGGCTCCATGTTCACTGCAGAGCCCGATGCGGGGCTCAAACTCACAACCGTGAGATACCAAGAGTCAGACTAAGCCACCCAGGTGCCCCATATATATATATTTTTAATGCTTATTTATTTTTGAGACAGGGAGAGACAGAGCATGAA